GTATTGTTTTTATGTGAAGAACCCCCCAAAACAGACTACATTATGGGTTTGTGCAAGTAGTCAATTAGAAAATATGTGATTTCTCTTTGTATTTATGAGGTAACTGTAGGATGCCTAGTTTTGGGCGGTGCATGAGAAGATTACATTCTTTTCACGTATACCTCAACTTGCACCCTGTATGTTCTTTTGTAGCAAAAACAGTCAGAAAGCATAAATTATCACTAAGTTATGCTTTTATAGTGGCTGTGCTGTTTCTCATAAAAATAGATTTAAATTTGTAAGTTAAAAAGCTTACTGTGTTCAATTTTAATGGAATGAATGGTGTATGATATTTAATTTAAGTTGAAAGTTTGCTTAACCACTGAAGTTCCCAAGTATTTCAATAAGGGTGAACTAAAAATTTTCAATATTGTTTGCTACATTCTAAAGGAATATTGTGAATTTGTACATCAATTTTTGCCTGATTTCGGAAGGGTTAAGTAAAGTGATGCCGCATTTTAGTAATGAACATTGTACATGGCAATTCTTTGTACAATAAAAAATAATTATGGTTCAGGTATAACAGACCTTTGTGACATTTTCGGTCTCAAGTTTGAAACACGAATTCTCCTTGGTTGTTTTCATACATTTCCTTTAGTTTTGGTTGGGAGAATTTTATGGTACATCAAGACAGTATCTTGAAGTTGATCATCATTAAAAGGGTGAGCTCTTAGACATCAGTGATCTTCACCCCAAAGATAAACTCACACCCATAATCTCAGTGACACCCCCTTCCATGTGGACAACCCTCTACCATAAAGTCAAATACTCTTTATAACCATGAAGCCATTAATTTATTTGTTGACGTGACAAGATTGGGCCCTGTGTCCGACTCGTGCTAATAGCGACTCGACTAAGAGTCAAATAAATGGAATGCCATCACACGCCATACACACCCTGATTTCTCACTGGATCGGCCATGATTTCAGGCCTTTGCCTCTGTTTCAAAACAAGGCCTTCTAAATATGAAAATGAATTTGATTTTGCATGAAAATGAACATTTTGGTGTGAAACTGCTTTGCTCAAGGCCTCATTTTGAACAGACAAATGGCGCAATCCTCGCATTACAACAAGTTTGTATAAACTGAGGTGAACAAAATGCAAGACAATGGAGCTTCTCAACGAGGAAAACGGCATGCTGGCGGAAAACAACAACTACTGAGCGAAACCTAGCTGTGCTCCTAAAAATTCGTGGAGGTCACCTGGCCCAGGTATGCAAAATAATTTTTTTCTAAATTTACTTTTGTGAAACAGAAGTCTTTTCTTCTTTCGGAATCTTCTCCTGTTATTACCACTTGTCATCTTTCCTCGTCTTTCAAATTCAAGATGGTCGCCATCTTGCAAGAACGAGAGGCTTGCTCGTTTTGCTCCAGGGTTCTCGGTTGTTCCACTTGTCCGTGTTAGCCGGCGGGGCCTTGGCACGAAGAAATGGTGGCTCTGTAGACAAATGATTTGATTGGGTAGATTCTTTGACTGAGATTTTCACTAATTCAACGCTGGCTTCCTTTCTGAAAACACCCACTGGTTTATCTCTAACTAAAACTGCTCGATTACAGCATCCACAGATGTTAACAACGGGAATTTATAAGAGAGGTAAAATTCTGACCGAAAGAGGCATTGACATGTTTCTTCATGGAAAACTTGTCTTTAATGAAAATTTTCCCCGAAAGCCAGTTTTAGACTTCCTGGAGGTCTGTTGCTGATTTCATTGAACGGTTTTAGGGCCCGTCAAATTTTATTTAGGACCTATATGGAGGTAAGTAAATCAAGTTCAAGAGATGTAGATTCATCTGCTGCGTTTTCTTAGAAAGACAGCAGCACTTGACCGGAAGAAGTTTTTTTGACTGTGTTTCTGAGAATCAGCGGCTAAAAATAACGGACCAATGACACTGATGTATGTATGGAGTCTGATTGTTTAGATAGCATTAAAAGGGGAGGTTTCTGAGAACTGAGAAAGGAAATAACATTTTCCTGGAACTGTCGAGAACGCTCTTTTAACTCCACGTTGCGAAATGTAATATTTTTGCAGAGAGATACGTATTTCACGTGTTGCTTGCCGATAATTACCTAGAAATGTGCTGACAAATCGTCTAGAGGAGTTAAGGTGAGTTGATCAAATACTTGTCTCTTCACGGTCTGTTATCTGTTGTGTAAGACAGGATTATTCGAATATTGCGAAACAACTGCAAGTTGCCTGAAATCGAAGCACTGTCTAGTTCAACATACCACATCATTCTATAATGCCTCGCAGCGTTTCCTTTTCCACTGTCGTTTCGCAAAGTGTCACAGACGCAACGATTGGATTAATGCGAAAATATGTTTAATTCTGAAGACAGAGTGTTTTATATTAAACCTGTCGCTAATAATTCAGATCCGCTAGCCTTGCCAGACAAGTTGCACCGCAAAACTTATTATCTATTATAAGACAAACCACCCTGAACACATAAATCTACCTTTACTGTCAAACCACAGATGGAGTAAGACATCACACATCTAATGTAATAGTATTCTTCATAAACAAAACTTAAGATGAAACAGGGACTTTCATGTCCTCCTCCGCCAACAGGGTAAATTTTCGATTCTCAAGCCTTTAATCTAGCTGGAAGGGCAATTGGGGGCTATTTATGATATGGTGTTTACCAGATTTTAATAATCACTTGTACACTTGAAAAACGTTATCTGCAGTAATGCTGGACACAGAACGGTAAGATGTCATATCCGATCACAGACGTTTTCGTTTCACAACCTTTCAAATTCTTTTCACCCGGTTAGGTAGGCAATAGAAATCAGTTTATTTCCCAACTGTAAATGATATGACCTTTACGCATAGGCTTTTGGTATGTAACTGTGTCACTGGTAAAAAGAGTTAAGTGATAATCGGCAGATAGACAAAGTATTAAAATTAACGTCGAAATGAATTATTAATGTTGTGCAGCAGTCGGGAACTTAACCTTAACTACTTCGTGTAAACTGTCTTTTATCAACAGATTTAGGCTACTTCCTCCCTTGTGAACCCAAGAGATAGAGCCGAAAAACAAACCATCTTATCTGTTTTATTGACCACTTAAAGCAAATTTTGCCACACTTGCCAGGCTTGTTTCCGCACTCTTTTGCTTGTCAAGATCCAAATCAGTTAACCACACTTCATTGAATATCTAGTGACCTGTGGAGCTCATTGTGTCATGCCTCTTTCTAGAAAGCACTTATTTCATTTTCACGGCAGCTATCCCGCATCAGTTCATATTTGAGCGTGAGGCCATTGGCAGACAAAACAAGATTTTGCTTATTGCGTTTAGTCCGCTGTTGTGGTCTGCTCATCATTGGGGGTAAAACCAGACAGGCTGGACAGGAAGAAAATTTTAAAGAAAACGACGAGTTCCCGTGGGTTTTAGGACAATAGCGAGAGACCTTTCCATCAGTTAAAAAATTATTGGAATTTATACTTATGGTAATTACACTGCCAATTGTGAAATACAAATGGATAAGAAAACTGCTAGATTATGATGTAGCGTTGAAACACATGCCTTTCTTATAAAGTTTGTTTTAAAATTTTGTTGTCGCGGAATCTGCAAATGGGAACGTGCATTATTGACAAAATAGGGAGTCTGAAAAGAAATAAGGGAGAGGTATCTTTTTTAGCACCAAGTTTTTTGGGGGACGTCACATGCACGTATGGTCACGTATGTCCCATAAAGCTATGTTTCTGTTTTTTTTGTTGTTGTTCAAGAGTGGGTGCATACAATTTTACCAACCCTACCCATTATTCTGCGCGTCCCCCATCTCCTGCTTCATTTATTTAAAGAAATGAAAGGTCCCTAAGATGTCGAAACAATCTGCACTTGATATCATTGAAAGGTTTGAAAAGGCTCTGAATTCTCGAGATTATCGGTTTTGTTTTGTTTGTTTAAGTGAAAGAGTTATTCCAAGATTGATGGACCTAGATGCGTATGGCACAGTTTTGGTTAGTCGCACCAACGTAACAAACCATAGAACCGCTTACATTCGAAAATTTGTTATTTGCCAATACATACATGCACAGTGGAAAAACGTTGTGTTTCATGCATATGCGGTTACACTCTCAACACTTGTGGGCCAATCAAATACTTAGGTCAGAAACATGTTAAGAAGGAATCCACCAGAAGTTCGAGTAACAAGTGGACAACAACTTTGTACTGAGACTATTTACATCGTATTCCAAACTTCTGTACAACTGTTTTAAATATCTTCTCAAAAGAAGTCATTTCTAACAACACCAAATGTTGAAAACAAATTTTGAAATTCATATGAAACACTTGAAAGTACTGGTGAAATGAGACTGATGATGAAACTTTACCTGTGTTTGCACAGTTTCTCTAAACTTTAAAAATTATTTTCTCGAGTTCCCATGGAAAATTGTTTTTGGTGTTATTTCAGGCAACTATTTATACCTTTAGCTTTTAGAAAATGCAAAAAGGATTGTAATATATTTGAAATTATTCTGGTACTGATTTTTGTCCACTAAAAGCTGAAATTGCTCGATTTCCTACCGGATTTCGTCTTAAAATTTGATTCATTGGCAAGCCTATCTATGAAATGAACTGGAAAAGTTTCATAATGTCATTGTGGAAACTCGGCCAGTTATTGTTACAGATCTGGAAGGGTGTCTTAAAAAATTGTTGATAAATTTTGTCATCGTAACCTTTAGAAATTCAGAACATAATATGTCTAATAAAAGGTTACGCTTTACTCAAGAGAGGATGAAGGGTATGATAGTTAATCCCTAATTAGGACTTATTCCCAAGACAATCCCTCTCAAGGTATTTATAGATCACGTAGTCCCGGGTTAGGGTTAGGGTTTGCTTCAGTCTGATCAATGTGGCTTAGTTTTGCGGTCTTTTCTATATGGATCTATTAACCCTTCCCCACACACTCCACCCTTGTTCAGTTATTTTGACTACTTACTTACCTAATATACTTCATAGATGTCACGTAACTACCGACCTCCTGTGAAGGATTTACGAAGTAAGATCAGCGGTCGGAAGCGCAGGTCTGAGGATGTGCTGATGATTCAAGAGCCAAAACGAAGAAGAACGGTACATAGAAAAGGAAAAAATAATGCGACGCGGCCCATTGAGTTCAAAGAACTAGAAAACATCTGTATAAATAGTGCTCCAGAAAAATGCATTTTAGAATTGGTTGGTAAGGCTGAAAGGTTCGAAGCCCTCTTAGCTTCAGAAGAAATAACACCAGATTTGTTGAAGCTCGTGATTTCTGCATGTCGTCTTCTTTGCTCAGCGAATAACCTAATGACCGAGAACGCAGAGAAGTTGCTACGCTCTCCTGCAGTGAAGAAGTTCATGACAGGGACCGTTCTTTCAACTTTTGTCAACAAGATGCCTTTTTCAGAAATCTGTAAGGACGAAAGAGAACGTGTCACTGTGTTAAATGATCTAGCAGCAATTTTTCTTGCGCTGCTTCAGAGGCTCGGTGAAAGCATAGTGCACAGGTTGCCGCTTCCCCAGTTAAGTACCTCTGTGGATGAGCTAAAAAAGAGGAATCTCATTGAAGACGCCAGCGATCTTGACAAGAAAATTCGACAAGTCAATGAATTGAAAGATCAGGTGATTCGGCGTGCAAAGTCGGCGTATGATCAGGAATCGTGGAACGAGCCTCCGCAAAATTTCAGAGAGCTTAGCGTCACTCCACAATCGGAAGACCTTTGTTTCAGGCCTTTTCTTCGCGAAAACATCACAGACAGAAAGTTTAGGGACCTGGATCATTATCTTGACGTGCAGTTTCGCCTTCTGAGAGAGGACTTCGTGATACCCCTTCGCGACGGCATTGAACAGCTGACGAAGGGAAGCTACTTCTTGGAAACGAATTCTGCAAGTAAAGTTGGGCGCACCAATGACGTTTCTGAATACCACGACGTCACAGTCCTGTATCCCGTATGCAGCAGGAAAGGCCTGGCCTACAGAATCATGTTTGACTTGTCGCATCCAAAGGTAAGGCGAGTCAATTGGGAAAGATCCAAGCGGCTCAAGTTTGGTTCGCTGGTTTGCCTTTCCTCAGATGAATTTAACACACTTGTCTTCGCAACGGTGGAAAATCGAGATGCTAAAGGGCTCAAAGTCGGTGAATTGGAAGTGCGGTTTGAAAACGTTGGCATGGAAGAGATAAACCAATTCATTCAGCAAGAAGAGAAGTTTGTCATGATAGAGTCACCTGCTTATTTCGAAGCTTACAGACACGTATTGGAGGCATTGAAGGAGATTAAACCTGACGAATTCCCTTTCCAGAAGCATATTGTTGAATGCTGTCAGGACGTTGGTCCTCCTGAATATCAAGTCAAGAAAGAAAACAGCAGTGCGTTCACGTTTAACTTTGCTGATATCCTAGTTGCGAGAACGCCAGCAAATCCAGAAAATCCTGTTTCATATCAACATCAGGAGCCCCCTTCTCCTCCTGTGATTGTGCTGGACTCAAGTTCACGAGAAGGTCAGACAGAAAGCGGCAATAATGAGGATCCTTCAACTGGCATGGACGTTCCAATGGACCAGGAGATACCTTCAGCTGAAGTCAAACAAGAGTTCAACGTCTATAATTGGCCCGACAACGAAAGCCTGGGCTTTAATGAATCGCAGATGCGCGCGTTCAAAATGGCGCTGACCAAAAAGTTTGCTGTTATTCAAGGGCCGCCAGGGACTGGGAAGACATATGTGGGTTTGAAGATTGCACGTGTACTTTTACAGACAGCCTCGCTCTGGGAGGACGAGGAAGAACGGTCACCAATCTTGATGGTGTCTTACACGAATCACGCCTTGGATCAGTTCCTGGAGGGGCTTCTGCCAGTGACAAAAGGTGAGAAAAAAATACTAGGCTACACGATTGGCTTAAAAAACTCGCGCCATTTTTTCATCCAATCAGAAGTAAAAGCAAATTAAAACCAATCGTGACTCGCTCGCGCACGTTTCCCGCGCTTCGCATCAGTGGATTGCCTGCGTCCTTTTTGATAGGCCACAATGACTACTTTGGTTTCGGTTTAACGATACTTGATTGAAAGCCGCTCTATCGATCGATAAACAACACGTACGCAGTCTGATTGATAACGGCAAGTTTACCAATAGTCGGCACTAGTCACTGGTTGTGTTGAAACTGAACGGATCAACATAGGCTGTTGTGCTCGACTCTAATATTTTCCAGATGAAAATTTGGTAATTATAGTTGGACGATTGGAATGTCAGTGGAAAGACTATTTTTGCTTGTTCTAAGGGAAGATTTCCAAAGCAAAGGAATCTTCTCGAAAATTTCCATGTTGTCATTTAACGGGCACTATCATGAGCCAAAAGCCAAACGACATTTTTACATCAAACGAAAGGCCTAAAAATAAGTGCCATAAGTGTCTTGTTTTGTTACGAATAATTATTCTAGCGCACTGAAGCTGCCAGAGTGGTGTTATCATGAGTTACAAATTGAAAAGGCACCAAGTCAGAATTGTGGCACCGTTTTGTCCAAAGGTCTAGCAAAATTCCCGTGATAGTGCCCGTTTAACAACAAACAAACTAAGCGTAAATCAAGATAAAAAATGTAAATGTTTTTGTAATATGCGCGGATAAAATGTCAAAAAACCAGACCTTTCGAGGCTGCTACCTCTTTATCAGTGATCTGAACAGCTGAAATTAAGATGTGGGCGCGTCATAACAAAACAAACAATGAAACGTCACTTGCGCGTGCTGACTTTACACTGAAAGAGAAAAAAAGTACTGCATTTACATACTTTAGTACAGTTTCATTACTGACTTACAATATTTACAACTTACGTAACTAAGTAACTGCGAACAAACACATTAAAATGATATTTAAAACTGAATTGTACTAACATATACAATATGTACAGCACATGACGTACTAAAGATAACTTGTTTACTTCTACACAATATTGCTTTCTTATACAGCAGAAATGCATTCAGATCACTGATAAAGAGACAGCAGTCTCGAATCGTCTGGTTTTTTGACATTTTATCTACGTATATTACAAGGACATTTACATTTTTTATGCGACTTTTGGAAATCAAGATAGTTCAGGAAGAAAGAAGTGGCACTGACGATTTAGTTTCTCACAATGCAATCGTGCAGTTTCTTAATAAGATACGAGTGACAGGGTTTTCCCTGACATTTACATTTTTTATGCGACTTTTGGAAATCAAGATAGTTCAGGAAGAAAGAAGTGGCACTGACGATTTAGTTTCTCACAATGCAATCGTGCAGTTTCTTAATAAGATACGAGTGACAGGGTTTTCCCTCTTCGTTTTAGATATTGTTCGTGTTGGTAGCCGCAGCAGAAATAACAAACTCGACGTCGTGTCGTTGAAATATCTTCAGAAAACAATCCGTCGAAACAGAGAGGTTCCAGACCATATTTTCAGAGCCAGGATACAAGCTGAGTGAGACACTGGAAAGCAAAGGGAATTTTTTGAAAGGTCTACCATGTTGCTAAGAACCCTGAGAACAAGCATAGTGTCCATGAAAATCCTTGGTCACCAAGATTACATGCTACGGGCACATCACACACAGCTCTCGGAGAACACTAGCACTAAGCTAAGATCAATTGATGACACACTTCTTCATTGGCTTGAAATCGAAAGGAATCAGCATAAAGAAGAAGAGCATTTAGATGATTTGGAGGAATTTTCAGCACCTGGATATGTCTTTGATGACATCCCTTCGGACGACAAAGACCTCGACGGTCCTACAATTCAAGTAGAAGCTCTCTCAGTCGAAGATGCTGAGGATCCTCAGTATGTGAGAAAAAACCTCACAAATGAAGAAGTCATGACGGAAGAAGAGGAGATGTATGTTGATGATATTTACCGTTTGAAAATAGAGGATCGTTGGAGACTTTACAAACTGTGGCTGCAAAGGGTGAAAGTCTACCATCTGAAGCTTTTCCAAGCTAGACAGGTGGAGTATGAACAAGCATTTCAACGAGAACAGGAGGTAAGCAGAATGGAGGAGTTCGATATCCTTCGCAGGGCACGTGTCATTGGCATGACAACCACGTGCGCCGCCAGATACCGCCACATTCTCCAGAAAATCTGCCCCAAGATAGTCTTAGTTGAAGAAGCTGCTGAAGTACTGGAGGCTCATATTATTACCTCATTGACGAAGGGATGCGAGCACTTGATTTTGATTGGTGATCATCAGCAACTGAGACCCTCCCCAGCCGTCTATGAATTAGCCAAGAAGTACAAACTGGACGTGTCGCTGTTCGAAAGAATGGTGAATGTTGGAGTTCAGTGTGAGAGGCTGTCCGTTCAGCATCGCATGAGACCTGAGATCGCTGCCTTGATGAAACACATCTACGACGATCTGGAAAACCACGAGTCAGTGAAGAAATACGAAGACATCAAAGGAATGAAGAAGAACATGTTCTTCATCAGCCATAACAATTTAGAGATGTCCTGCGATCAGACGCACAGTCATGTCAATGAGCACGAGGCTAGGTATCTAGTGGCGCTGTGTCATTATTTACTACAGCAAGGTTACAGAGCCCATCAAATAACACTTCTGACAACCTACATGGGACAGATGTTTGCCATTAAAGACTGCCTCGGAGAGGAAGACGATGAAACGTTGAGAAGTGTCAGACTGACGACAGTTGACAACTTTCAAGGTGAAGAAAACGACATCATTCTTCTTTCGCTGGTACGCAGCAACAAAAGCGAGAAAGCTGGCTTTATCAAGAGTGTGAACCGCGCATGTGTGGCGCTCTCTCGGGCCAAGAAGGGTTTCTATTGCATTGGAAACTTTGCTTTTCTCTCTAAACACAGTGACATCTGGAACAAAATTGTAGCCGATTTGAAAGAGAGTGGTAGCATCGGAGACGTCTTGCCCCTTGTTTGTCAAATCCACCATGATGAACTCACAGCTGAAAGAGCTGAAGATTTCAAAGTGAAAGCTCCGGATGGGGGATGCCAGCGGCCATGTCAAGTACGTCTGAGATGCGGTCATACTTGCAGACAGTTATGTCATCCACGCGACACCGAGCATTTGGAGTATTGCTGTGTGCAGCCATGCAGCAAGAAAATTAAGGGCTGTGATCACGCCTGTCCAAATCTTTGCTGGGAAGAGTGTGAGCGACATTGCCGAGAACCGGTCATGAAAAAGCTACCAGTCTGTGGCCATTATGCACAGGTGAGGTGTGATACGATTCCGTGGATGGTGAAATGCAAAGTAAGATGCGAGAAATCTCTCTCCTGTGGCCATCAGTGTCAAAGCTACTGTGGAGTGCCATGCACCGAAAAATGCCAAGAGCTTGTTAAGAGAACTGACTGGCCGTGCGGACATGGAGCCACAACCGCTTGCTCGGCCACTCAAGCAGATTGCGGTGTCCCTTGTGAAGACAAGCTGGAATGTGGTCACAAGTGCTCTGGTACTTGTGGAGAGTGTCGCATGGGTAGAGTTCACAAACGCTGCAAGCTGAGGTGCGGTCGTCCTCTGATTTGCTCTCATGTCTGTACAGAATTCTGCAGAATGCCGTGTCCTCCATGCAGCAAGAAGTGTGAAAACCATTGCGTGCATAACAGTTGCGACAAAAGGTGTGAAGATCTGTGCGTTCCTTGCAGTGAAAAGTGTGCCTGGGAGTGTATCCATTACAAGTGCAGCAAAAAATGTGGTGAGCTGTGTGACAGACCGATCTGTGACGAGCCTTGCGACAAAACTCTGTCATGCCACCACAATTGCCGTGGTTTGATGTGCGAACAGGAGTGCATTTGTACCGAGTGCATGAAAAATGACGACCACGACCCAATTACAACTATCTTTTTTGGTACAGAGCAAGATGAAGGCGCCCGGTTTGTCCAGCTTCCAGACTGCAAGCATATCTTTGAAAAGAAAGGCCTGGACAGGTATGAATAACTTCAATCTAAGAAGCGAGTGAACATTATAACATAGCTAGCAGAGCCGAAAAAGCTAGAGTTGCCCTCGGCTATCGCCTCGGGCAACTCTTACGCTGCTTTCGTGCTCTCCAAACTTCCCACGTGCTCCATAACTCGATAGTGCACGCTAAAGCATGAACCAATTGTTAATTCGTAAAGACAATCGATCTTTCACACTTTTACACATCCACAGTTTTAATCGAATGTTTTCAGTTAGTCGTAGCAATAACAAAGCTGTGCAACTCCTTGTTATCAGACAAGAGCAGCAACTCCGTTTATGGAAGAGTGGGACAAGAGAGGGACCGCGAGAGTTTATGTTGACGTTTTGGTGGAGCAAAAAAGTTGAAACCTTTTAAATGCGGATGACTTAGAATATATAAACGCTTTTCGTATCTATTGTTATAAAAATTCATGCACCATGGAGACGTCCTTAGCCAAACCGATTGCAAGGCTGGCATTACTTCAAAACGGCAGATTAATATATTTTTTGGTCGCTATCGTATTCAAGAGTTTTCTCCGTATAGTCCGGTCAGTTCCCTCGCTGCTGAAAAACCAGCATTTCCAAATTCCTATTCGATCTGGAAAGACGGCCCGCACGAAAACCAGCTTATATAGGGCTGATGTGGCTTTCTCTATTAATCTTTTAATTTATTTAACATTGCAATTACAAGGAGAAAAATATATAAATAATCCAATACTTTTCCGGTATTCGTTTTTCCCTACTGTCTCTGTTGGACGTCACGCAATCTTTTTCTCAAAGAGATTAAATAAGAAAGATTGCGTGACGAGACAAGGAAATGTCCAAAAAATGCTAATTCCTACCGGACTCCTACCTAAAGTAGCCACAGTTAATGAAGTTAAAACGCAGTCACACGCCTCTTAATTAATTTGTATGACTTGCGCTTCTTCTTTAGTTACATGGGGATTTCAAATGACGACACCGATGTCTCGGATGAAAGTCCCCCCGGTGACAGTCACGCGGATATTATGGATGACAGTCAACTGATCCGACTGAAATCCTGCCCTCGTTGTAAGACTCCTATCCGCAAGAGCCTGCGATACGGTAACGTCATTAAACAGCAGCTAAAAGACATCGAGAAAGTCAAAGAAAAATTGTTGGGAAAAAAGAGTGAGCTGGAAGGGAAGAAAGAACGCCTCTCTGACCGTCACTTTAAAATGCGTTCGATGCTTGAAGAACCAGACTGGCAGAAACTGAAAAGAAGTATTTTGAAACTGAATTCGGAATGGACGGCTACTATCCTTGAAAACAAGTTGACGCTACTGGAACGTTTCTGTGACACAAGGAAGAAAATGAAAAGCATTCTGGGTAAAGTGTCTCGGGAGGTTTTGTCAGAGAATAACTTGCAAGGTAAGTTTGAATTCTATTTGTCGAAGGTTGAACCGCTTGGCTATGAACGTACTTTTCGCGGGGGAATTTGGGCCACTTCCGCCGGATAAGCACTCCGATCGGGGATTTCTGCCACCCCTGTTGACAGACTCTCCGGTCAGGGATTCAGGCTACGGCCCTATGACCTAGGCGAATTTGTCAGTCTCAAATCGTAATAATAATCAAATTGAACGAAAAAGACTCATTTGTGAGCATTTTGACCAAAGGAGGACAGGTGAAGAGAGGGTGGGTGTACAGTTCTTTTCAAGAGAGCAGTGGGTGACCAAGAACTTTGGACTTTTATCTCTGACCAACAATTTTGAGACCAATATTCAGTTTAAAGGCACCTCTAACAATTTCAGACTGCTATTGAACAGTTTTTGTGGTCTCCCCGATCATGAGTACCTTTCAGCTGTCAGAAACGTGACCTCATTCGTGTAGAAAATCACAACAAGGTGTTACCGGGAAACGTGAACCGGGTCTGGTTTTCTTCCTTGCTGCTCTCTTTTATTAAACTTAACTCTAAATTGCTATTAGGGCGAACTCGAAACCTGGCGGTTCCTTTAGCCTCTAGGCTCCCATTTCTTTGTTATTTTCTTTAATCAATTGTTATGTATATAATGCAAGTCTCCTATAATGAATCTGTGCGAGTCAGTAAAGATTATTGTTATTGTTGATTTGCTTAATATATACTTTTAACGACAGGCCAGCAATTTGGAGATGAACTGTGCTACCTTAAGATGCGCTTTACGTCTGACGAAGTAACGCATAGAGAACTACGAGACATCAACACAGAATTCTCTAGGCTCAATCTCCTACTCGAGCTGTGTTTGCTGATTCACGAAATCAAGAGCCTGGCTCTAGAACTTGAAGATTCTCCCCGCCAGATGATGACTGCACTACGGGAGAAACTGTCCAGCTGTAAGCGCATAGAAGACGAAAAGTTGGATGAAATGATGAACAATCTGAAGGCTATCAGGTAAGGATTATGTCTTCAATTGCACAACAGCATAATTCGTAAAACGTAAGAACAAATTAGCGGATTGCGCGCTTTTTTTAAATTTACGGTATACTCTTCCTTGACTTCTACACCACACTGATTACCTAGACGGGAGTAGATACTAATACTAATAAACAACTAACTTAAAACTAAGCACAAGCAAATTACGGCTGGTTTTCACTTGTGCTTATGCTCTAGTGAAAACCAGCCTTTACTAATAATTTGCTTCACCATTTACCAACTAATAACTAACACCATTACTAAATTACATCCATACAGAAAAGAATTAAAATGCACATTACATTATACAATATACCAAGCAGTTCAATTAAATAGCGATAAGCAGTAGTAGTAGATAAGCGCGGTCTGTAAATTACCACCTAACGGCACGATATCTTCTCGTCCGTACGACACTCTCACGTACTGAGTTTAAATAAGCTCATATTATTTTGCGATTCTAATTCTTCGGTTTTAGGGAATTTCCTGGTCTATTTCTCCCTTTCTTTCACATCTCCTTAGATCCTTGTAGCTGTAGATTAAGCAAACCATAACGGCAGCGGCGACGGGAACGTCGCTAAGCTGAAGTTTAAAGAGCGGAACAATGGATCAGTCCTGGTGCATCCGTTTTTGCCGTTCTCTGAAAACAGCAACGTGAGAAGACCAAAATCTGCATAGAGTGGAAAACGTGAACCGCCACGGCCATTTTCTTAAAATTGCTTTTTCGATTTTAACGCTGTCTTCTGAGATAGCTCTGACAGTGATAAATGACTGGATGAATCTAGATTATTGCGAGATTCTTAGTTTAAGTATAAATTCGAATTCACTTTTTAACTAACGTTGTCCTTGGCGTCGCCGTCGTGGTTGCTTGAGCTCCTATTCTTAAAGCAAGACGACGATGGTGGAAGAGGAGGGGGTAAATTTGGTCCATCGTTTTCCTTGGAGACTAGTATGCAAGCAAACTTTCTTGCGTGTAGGTGATGAAGTGCTCTCTCACCCATACGAGAACGAGAGCTTGCTTGTAGGCTACTGGGAGATTAAAACTGAAAGGAACTACTGATGGATGCTGATGGTTTGTTTTCAATCTGGATCACATATACATGTTTTCCATTTTAGACAATCGCACCCCACATTGGCTCCTTTGACTGAAGAGGAGAAGAAAGTGATCGTGTCCGCGATCGGACTGTCTAAAGGTCATTGGTTTAAGTGCCCCATGGGACATATCTACGCCATAGGTGAATGCGGCGGTGCCATGGAGAGAAGCACTTGTCCTGAATGCGGAGCTGTGATTGGTGGAGCAAATCACAGACTGGAAGATGGAAATGAGCTGGCCCCTGAGATGGACGGCGCAAACCATGCAGCCTGGTCTGAACAGGCAAACTTACAAAATTATGAAAATTTACGCCATATTGTATAAGTTGCTCTGTGTTAGAGTTATCTTCTAGAAAACTGATTTAAACATTTTCTCCTTAGTTGAGTAGCAAAAAAAAAATCATGCTGCTTTTTGCAAAAGGAAAATGGCACGTGCTGTAAGTTGAATGGTATTTTTCTGGTGACCGCCTTAAAAAGAATAATTATTTCTTATTATTGCTACAATTGAACAAATTCCATAATGGTTTTAACCGTTACTACTTCAACTTATTGATGATCAAGAACATTTTTATCTTATCACACATATAGGACTAATAAGGATATTATTACATTTCTGTTTTCTTAAAAATGCAATATTTAATAGAACTAGAGTCCAGCTAGGTCAGCTAGACAGCAGAAAAATAACTACATAATAATAGCTACTAGTTGTGACTACAACTGCACGTAAATATTCGACTTAAGATTGAATTTCCAGGCATTTAGTTTCAAAAAAGTGAGTTTGTTCCACAGAGCAAAACAATAACCAGGTTCCTGTTTTGTAACACGTTTAATTGCTCCGAATCACCATTATGTTCACGAGGTACAACCGTACAAATCCTATCAAATCAAAATCAAATCAATTTTATTTTTCTCGGGAACGTGAGGAGTGGTTGCCCAATCTCCTGAGCCAGAGGCTCATGTATTAAACACACACGGAGGAGCGTACCAGGGAAAAGCATGTTGGACTGCAGAGAAAACAAAAGGAAACCCAATGGGATCGCTCAGGAGAACGCTGAAAGAACATATGCTGAAACGGACTGAGATTTGCCGGGCTGCACCCTTAGCAAAAGCATGGGGTAAACACGAAATTACCCGACGGGAACCATTTAGAGGACGCACGGGGGAAGGCAGGCAGATCGTGCGCGAAACGAAAGGTGCACTAGATGGACCCACCAGGAATTGCACGTGAACCTACGGTGAAATGGTCAAGGAAACGCATGGGGAACTCACAGTGGAAATACGGGTAAAATATGGGGTACCCTGCGGGAACTTACAGGGGATGTACGGGCAAAATAAAGAGTAACCCGCGGGAACCCACGCGGGAACGCATCAGATTAAGTAAGAGAACATATCCCAATAGTTTACGCGGTAACAATAGTTAATTTAACCCATATTTATTTCCTTACAGACTACACCAATCAATTTATTAGAAATGGTAATACAACTAGGTGAAGAACAATGTAGCGAGTAATCGAGCTTAGTTTCACATTTGGCCGAGCATAATTTGAAAGTATCGACACGATCTCTTCTGTACTGCACAACACGAAGTCGTTAGCCTAGAACTATGATTAGTACGACTATCTAATATACTTATTTTAAGATTTACTGTAGCTCTGCCATTGATTTTCCCGTGTGTAATTATGATAATATTTTGTTCTAATTATCTAACTGAGGGAGTCCATTCCTTATAAGCCCGGTGGCTTCTCTTGGGCTTCCTCGCCATGAGAGTTAAGGTAATTAGATTTTATTTGATTTGTATAATTTTTTGGCAAACAAAACAATAAACAATAAACAATGCAGTCTGTTTAGAGCGGTTTTCTCCTGAGCGTCGAAAAGTAATTGGTTTTGCAGTGCTACGCTACACGATGGCCTTAATAAACTCGTGCCACTCTGTGATCCAATCAGAAGTAAAACCAAAACCAGTCGTGACTTGCTGGCACACGTTTTCCCGCCCTTCGCATCAGCCACGTGTATTTACTTCGAGTTTTAATTGGTTCATTGGATTGTCTGTGTCCTTCTAACTGGTTAGAGTAAGCACTCTGGTTTTGGTTTTGCGACACTCAATTGAAAACCACTCTAAAGGTAACAACAAAACTCGAGAAAAAATAAATTTCATTGCGGACTCTAGCTTAAGGTGGCGCAAAACAGTTTCCAGCACTTCCCGAGACCTAAATTTTGATGCGGGTCATTATAACCACTCGATAAGTTGATGCTACAGTCATGGTATCAAAAAACTGCCCAATCACTGGTGAACACGTTGTTATCATTTTCGTGACAATATTGGTTACCATAGCAACAAAATGACCTGCTAAAAACACCCTTAACGGCATGGTGAAACCCATTTTTTATTATCGGATTTGATTTGCAGGATAAGAGGCGACTTTTGGCAAAGTTTAAAAAAATTCTGCACATGGGGTTTAGAGCCACCTAAATTTAGGGGTGCTTTTAGCGGTCACACTGTTGCTATGGTAACCTATATTGTCACGAAAATTATAACAACGTGTTTACCAATGACTGGGCAGTTTTTTGATACCATGATTGTAGCATCAACTGATAAAGAGTGGTTACATCAAAATCTAAATCTTGGAAATTGCTGGAAACTGTTTTGAGCCACCTTAAATTAAACGCTCAACCAAAGATTTTCGTTTTATGCTGCCTTCTTGGAAACACTTAAGAATCGCGCTTGTACATTGATTGTTATCGTAAATAATGGCAGTGTAAAGTTTAGAGATTTTTTTTTTCAATATATCTGATGTTAATTTAGTAGCCAAGTTAAAATTGGCAACAATTATAACAAACATTTACGAGATCAGTTACACTTGTATGTAATAATGGACTCAATCAAAATGTACTATTAGAATTTCGTGCGTCCTCGAGAGTTACCTAACCATTTTTAGAAGCGTTCGGTATATGTAGAAATTACAAGGCCACTTTATAATGATAATTTATCAATATCTTAAAGCAACTTATAACACTTAAGATAATTGAGCTTAGAGTCTGTTGTAGAGCTAGGAATCAGAGGAGACAGGTTCTTGTTCAATAATGAAGTATTCTGTTTCTTAATTTACCAATAAAGCAATGAAAAACTTGTTTTGGTCAAGGCGTCAATACTATGCTTTGAGCGGCAAAGCTGTTATTTATATGTAATGAAGAAGTTCACTTTTTACTTGTTCTGATCTACTACCTAAACTTCAAATTATGGATAACCGGTTCCCTTGTTAGAGGAAAAAATCCTCCAAAAATCGCCCTTACTTTGAAAGTATCAATACAGATTTGAAATTAATTTGCAAATAAATGAGGTTCTGTTGTTGTGTAGGGGGAGGGGAAGGCAAAACCTGAATACTTGCAACTATAACTTAGCAACTTGACTACTCTTATGGGGGGGGGGGGGGGACTATTACACAAATAGAAGACACCCTGCGTATATAAAAAAAAAAAACTCACAAAAAAATTGTCTTAATTATAAAAGAAAAAAAAAGAAGTAAAATAAAAATAAAAAAAAGAGTTGGTTTGTTGGGTGGGGGGGGGGGGGAGAAGAAAAAAACGTACAGCAATGACAAAAACCGTGCAACGTGCCCCGCTGGGGGGGGGGGGGGGGGGGGACACTGGTCCCTGCCCCACCCCCGATACTAGGTATACACAAAGAAACAGAGATGCTGATTATGAGGACTTGCATAGCAGGGAAGGCAGAGCCTATCTCCCCTGGAGTTGGGCATCTCTAGGGGAGCCTATGTTAGGTTGTAACATAGGATGGACCAGAAGAGGGGTGCCCTTCTGAGAGGGCAATAGGTCGCATGATATGATGGTACCATCCTTAGCAGTAATTTCCTCTGGTACTATTGTCACTGCATGACTGTACATATGTACTTTCCAGTTTGACAATTAAAATGAAGGCTAGGGGGTTGACTCTAGGAGGAAAGTATTTTAAAGACATAGTTTCACGGTTCGGCGCATGTGGAAGCTATGATGTAGCCCATCCAATTTCATTGTCTATAAACCAATCAGCTGCGAGTAGATAACTCGTGCGTCCGGTCCAGAATAAAACCGTCGGGCCAAACAACAAATTCGATGCTCAACACTGAATCCGACATTTTCTGTGTATCCGTTGACATCTTCCGTGAATTTTGAGCATCAGTAATTCTGCCAACTTTCGTGTAAGCGTATGGCTACAAAAAGGCTATCATTCTGTCTTCACAAAATTATAGTTTGTGATTTCTGAAATACATGTGGTTGATACGAAAACGAAAATGTACTTAATGCATGGAGTCGGAAAATACGAAAGGGATTCTAATGAGAAATCTCACCTCTATCGTCACGTTTTCGCGACTGACCGAGGAATTTTCAAAGCCGGGCAAATTTCCCGCAAGAGTCAACTGCACGCTTCCGATTGTTCTATAAACAAGACCCTCCCTTTTAAAGAAGCTTTCGTACGGTTCTCGAGAAGGATGACGAGGCTTTTCAATGGCATAAGGCCATGGACTGCCTCACAAATTGGGGTCCTTGAGTTCTTAGTCTACGAGAAAGCCATTGAAAGCAAATCCCGAAAAATCAGGCTTGCATTGACCAATGCGTGGAAACATCATGTGATTTTTTTACAATCTCTAACGAAAGACTTAAGTTTGGAGAAGTTTAAGATCATTTTCAAGCAACTGATTTGCCTGCTCTGACCCGGTCCGACCCAGTGTCGTGGATAGAGGACATTCTCATGGCAGCCTCGCAAGGCGACGAAAATTCACTTGACTGCCACTAAAATCGTTTCTTTCTGTGTATGTGGAAAATGTGGTTCAAAAGAGA